CACAGGCCATCTCCCGCAGGGTTTACGAATGCCTGCCTCTCCGTTAAACAGAGGGCCCTGCTGGTACCTGGGGGCCACCCTCCTCGCTCGACAGAGAGGTCGTCACAAGGCCTGATCGGCATGACCCATGTGGTCACACTGCACAGTGTCATTTCAGACACAGTACAAACGCAGTATTTCACTCTGATAACAGCGGCTCGCTCGCCGTCACCACGTCCGACGCCAGGTCAGAGGAGATCTCAACACAAATGACACTTTTGATCAGAATACTGGTGAACGTGGCATCAGATTCATACTGAGAATTTTTGGCATGCACTGCCAATCAAATGTTTAGACACACTGAGCTGGTTTATCGTGATCTTTTGATCTAAAGGCTTCTGCTTGATCTGAAGTTCTGTAGACAAATATAAATTGTGCCCACAAGCAGATCTGGAATCTAAACAAAGAAGTTTTCATTTGTGTCACATCACTACCAGACTTCCATTTGTATTATTCCAGAGTTTTCATCATTTAAATGTTTATACTAACATGCAGAAAATAGTCATAAAAATAGAATGAGTCAGTGTGTTCAAAGTTTTGACTGCTAGCATACTGTATGTGAATGACCATCATTTAAATATTGAATAATTAAATCATGTTTTTTCCACCACATTTTCAAAAAAAAAAACATTCTAAAGGTTCTAAAATAATGTTAGTTAAACCAAAAATTCTTAAAACCACATATTCAAACTTGTTTATTTGTTGACAACAAATGACAACAAATGGCACTGTTATATGCATAGTTCAAAATTTCAGGTAAAAAACTCCCAATTATTTAGAATTGGAAACCAAAGAAACCTAGAAACCAAAACGCTGACCTGAAGAACAACTGAACAACCTTTATTTTCAAGGACTGACGATTTATATATAAAGAACATGCTAAAAGAAGCAGTACCTACTGGTAGTTTTTGTTTGACATCAATAATGACAACAAACAGCATTGGTTCTTTTACAATGGCTTTGGTTCTTATATGGTTCTTCTATGATAAACACCCCTAAAGGTCAAGCTTACAGTTAAAAGTTATTTTTAAAGTTCCAAAAAGAATGTTTAACCACCAATTATTTGGAATTGCATCTATGATCTGATGCTTTGAAGAACATAGACACTAAAGCACTGTTCTAAAGAGCCTAAAATAAAACAAGCATCAAACAAGTGGCTCCTTTTGAGACACAAAGTCATTTTCCAAAACCTTCACCCTCTCTGCTCCTCTCTGGTGAAATGCTGAACTGCTTTCTAGCTCACAATCTTTCCTAATCTAGCTTTCAAATAAACATGGCATTGCATGCTGCAAATATTGTTAGCCCTGTGATGAACTGCTTATGACCTGCTCCTCTATTGTAAGTCACTTTGGAAAAAAGTTATTGTTAATTATGAAAATGTAATGAATCTCTAAAGAACCATATAATAGCTCAAGATCCATATTAATAAAAACAAAGGTTCTTCAGATAAAATTTAAAAAAAAACACTGAAGAATTCATTTGGACAGTTTTCAGCCAAATAAATATAAAGACCAAGCTAAAAGACAAATTTTCAACCAAAAATTCTTAAAAGCACATATTCAGACTTAAATATCATGAATTTCAAACGATGCTCAAATGATGATTTGCAGTTGATAATTAATTTTCAATTGTAAATGAAATTTCCATTTTTTTTTTTTTTTAAGTTCCACAAAGAATGTTTTAACCACCAATTATTTTGAAACGCAAGAATCTAGAACCCAAAACACTGACCTGAAAACCTAAAATGATACATCAAGCATCAGTGCTGGGGAAACTTTTAAAAGCGATGCATTACAATATTGCGTTACTCGATAAAAAGTAACTTATTGCATTACTTAGTAACTTACTAATTACTTAGTTACTTAGTACTTAGTAACTTTTTATGAAAAGTAATGCATTACGTTACTTTTTCGTAACTTTTTGTCACATGAGCTGGGCTTGCTTATTTATTTTTAATAACTAAAATACTTTTTGGCAACTGTGAAGGCCTTTTCACACCAAAAGTGAAATTAATAAGCCTCAGGCTCTTGCACCTCACTCCCAGTTTCTCTCAACAAAGGCACAGGAGAGGTGCCAGTCAATAAATGGGAAAACAAAGTAACTTGCGTTACTTATTTTTAAAAGTAATGCATTACTTTACAAGTTACTTGAAAAAAGTAATCTGATTACGCAACTTGCATTACTTGTAATGCGTTACCCCAACACTGTCAAGCATGTGATAAATCTTCAAAAGAACCACACAGAAGCTCAAAAGAACCCAATGCATCCAAACTATGATGAAGAACCTTTATTTTTAAAGAGTTTTTAATGAAATAAAAAGTTGTTCGTTTAGATTTGAATCTTACACATAGAAGTTTAAAAAAAGACATATTATTGTACCCTCTTAAAAATAAAGGTTAAGGGTTTTTTTTGCAGTGATTTCAGTGAATAGTTTGTAAAATATCCGTTTTTCTCCCTCAGTATAAAGAACATTTGAATCATCTAAAGAAACCTTTTTTCCACTATAAAGAACCTTTTGTGCACTGGAAATGTTCCACTCATGCCAAAAAAAGAACCTTTATTTTGGTCTGAAACCTCCAGACCCAAGGCCCTCAATACCCTTTGGCCAGGACACATCCATTTAAACGAAGTCCCGTGTGATTAGTTTGCCCAAGCGGCCGTAACGGTGTCCTAATCAGTGGAGTGTTTGGATAAAGCGCTGTTCTGCAGGGGTAAACAGAGCTGTATTTGATGCTCTTTATGAGGGTTGTTTGGCAGGGTTTATTCCTCTGTTAGACTGGCTCCATGCTCTCGGAGGGAGGCCGGCCCTCCTGCGGGGCCGCAAATGGGCGGGTGGCAGTCGGGCCGGGCCACATGAGAGAGAGATGCTCTCCAGCTGTTCCAGACCTCGCGCTTTATCTCTTCAGGATGTTACAGTAGATGTTAACAGGTTTTCAATGAGAATCATCATGCATCTCCACCCCACAATAAAAAGCTTGAAAACAAACCACTTGAGACGGAGATAAAGAGCCATTTTCACTTCAGATAAGCTGCGGTTTTTACAGACTGCAAACTAACGCGCTCATTAGCGCGAGCCGTCAGCTCTGTTAACACCCGTGATGTGAGAAAGTTTAGTCGGCTGCTCCATTGGGCTCCACATTACATGTTTGTTGTAAACCGCATCAACACACCGTAACCTTTAACCCAGTTATCCAGCAGAAAACGCATCCAGAAAGGTTTTAACGAGACCAAATAAGCAAATTAACACATTCAGGTTCCCAGGCTGTGAATGTTACGAATTGTTTGAATTAATTGATGCGTAAAATGCGGTTAATCTACTTTAGAAGGGACATCTACTGAAACGTACATCACATAATCACGGCTAACACTTCATAATAACTTTCATTAATAAGTCATTAGCAAATACCCTATGATGCTTAATGACAGATCAGGAGTTTGAATGTGGATGTACATGAGGATATATGAATAAAAGATTAATAAATTACCCTAATATACACTCAAAATATATTTAGGCCTACATGTAAGATTCATGTTCGAGTTGCATATAAAATCCCCAACCATTTGGATTACCATAATTTAATGTGATGCATATTTGTCAGTCATACATGCACTCAAAAAAATCAAGGCATGGTTTATTATTAACTACTTGCATTTTTGCAACTATTTGATTTTATTTAAATAATCATATTTTCAAAATGCACTTAATTAAATTTGAAAAAATCAGCTAATTAATTAAATTTGTCCAGTAAAATAAACATGGTTAAATTATGACTAGCTGTGGAACAAGCAATAATCACTTAGTTAAAAATAAACAGTTTATTAGCATAATTACAGAAATCAGACCTGTTTTTTATTTATTTATTTTTTTTGGATTGAAGTGCCAAAACCTCCATGGGCCCCTGAGAGCATCACCAGCGGTTGCCTGGTTACGGGGCCCTTAAGCCAGGTGAGAAAATTTCATGGTAAATTAGGAGAATCTCTTTGAAGTTTCTCCACAGGCGTCTTGAAAAGAAACAAAGACTTAGGAAACAAAAGCTCGAGCATGCCGTTTGTTGTGGTTTTCACTGATATTTTATTATCTGAATATAAAGAATAAATAACAGTTCATCTTAATTTACAGGATAAATCGTCGCCACGAAGCAGCTGTCACAGCTGCAGGACGTTAAAAATCCATAATACATTTTGAGGTCATCACATCGGTGTGGAAAACCTTATAAAACATCTCAAATGGCTCCACGGGCCACTCTCTGCAATATAAATATGTTAACCAATATTTTCCACAAATACAGTAGACTCTGGATAATACACATAATACTGGCTTTTTACAAGTAGCTAAATCATTACATGATGGCACGACATATACATACAATACATTCCTACACATTATAGTGCATAAAAAATAAAATGCAACACTTTACAATAACTTATGAAAGGCATTAACAGACATTATTATAATACATAATGCATATTATGTATTATTAATCATATTATAATACACAATGCTCAACAAATCATCAGCTAGTACATTCAAACTGTAGCTGAAATGTTTTTTTGTTTTTTTACTAAATATAATATATTGTCATATATAAATATAGCATTGTGATATATATATACATTTCTATAATAATTTGAATATGAATTATTGATATCTTCAGCATTACCTTTGTTAATGACAAAGTTAACATAAAGTGTTACCGAAATAAAAAAAACAATTTCATAACTTAAATCCAGAAATTTGTATGAGATTAGATTTTTTTTTCATGTTCTTCCAGAAATATGTATCAGAGCAGAGTTTTTAAAACTGATATCCAGAAATACGTATCAGATCGAATTTTGTACAGTAATAGTTTTCCATAATTTAAGTCTAGTAATCAGCATCAGCTGCAGCTCATGTCCAGAAATAGGACAGTTTTTATATAGTTTGTGCACTTTTTTTTTCCAGAAATGAGCATCAGTTTCGATGTCCGTTCGTGATTGGTCAGTTCGCGCAGGAGCATTTGCACTCGGTTATGATGGGATACTGCACCGGTATCCAGGCGCACTTCAGCGCGCCTCGCCTCTGCACGCATCGCCACCGCAGCAGCGTGATGTGCGTGGATTTGGCCGGTTTGCACACCATCCCCTCCGGCACCGAGCAGGAGCGCTTGCTGTAGCAGCTCCCCGCGCGCACGAAGCGCGGCCAGAAGCGCGCGCCGAGGTCGTTCCACGCGTACAGCACCGGACAAAACGAGTAGGACCAGAGCCACATCTGCAGCCTGCGCTTCAGCTTCTTGCTGGCCTTGCGCTTTTTTCCCCACTGCGCGTCAAAGTCCAGGTTCTTGATGTCTTTGGGCATCATCCCGGTGGGGTTCTGCTGCTGGAGGTCCAGCTCCTCCAGATCCTCGTTGCCGGTGTAGCGATCCTGAGGAGGACTGACGGACAGAAAGCGGCTGTCAAAGTCCCCTAGCGCGCTCCGCAGCTCAGTCTCGTTTAGGTCCCTCTCCCGCGGGTCGTAGATGGGGTCGGGGTCCTCCTTGAGCTCCAGCAGGGGTAAAGTGTCACTCGGGATGGGTCTGAGCAGGTAATAGTGCTGACACTGAGCGAGGGACACCAGGAGCAGGTACACAGTCACCAAACCATGCGGGAGATCCATCGTGATGCGAAAAACTGGGGTAAAATCGCACAAACTCAACTTTATCCGACGCGAATGCAAGCGCTCAGATCCCGGATCTATCCATCCATCTCACTCGCAAGGTTTCCTGCTGCTGGCGGTTGAATGTGTCGGAATCGTGCGCAGCATCAGGCGTGAAAAGTCCCGCACGCGACGCGTCAGCGCGAGCCAAAACTCTGGGAATGCCTCTCTGACGCGCGCGCCTCTCATATATAGGCTACACGCGCGACCCAGTGATGTAATACAGCGGATCTGGGTTTTTGAATGTGAGTTTGTTTGCAGGAGATTCCCCGACACCTCCTTCAGAGCTCAGGGAGAGAGAGAGAAAGAGGGCGGGAGGGAGGGAGGGAGGCGTGGCTGCATGGGGTTTGAAGCCGCAACGCCTCATGTCGGCTTCTTCACGCCACTGGGAGAAACTTCACGGCGAGAGTTTATGATAGTCTGCACTTTCTAACTGACACTGTCATCTCATTATTATTATTAAGTACTTGCATTATTACAAAATGTTGTAGTGACAAAAAAGGAAAACTTGAACAACAGCAATAATAATGTTAATAACTACAATAATACTAAAAAAATAATTATTTTATTTTATTTTAAAGTAGACTGGTATAATTGGCACGATTGCTAAACATTGCAGTGGCAAGAAAAACAATAACAATAATAATAATTAAATACAAGTTAAATAAATGTAATATTTATAATAATAAAAAGTACTCAGCATGAAATTAACATAAACATAATAAATTATACAATTAAATTAAAATAAGATGACATCATTATAATAATAACAATAATAATAATAATAATAATAATTTAAGCATTGCAGTGATGTGAAAAGAACAAAGATAAAACCAAAATCAGTAACGCAACAATCTACAATAATGATAATAATAGGCAAACAAGAAAACTAATACATAAATAAAAATAAAATAAATATATAAAAATAAATAATACAAATTACAGGTTATTAATATTTCATCAGTGATAATGTCACACTGAACTATCTATCTATCTATCTATGTCCTTGAGCAAAGCTCTTAAATCCTCAGCATACTGCAGGAGGACTGAACCTGAAATAAGTCTTCTGAAAGTCTCTTTGAAGAAAAGCAGCTCCTAAATGACCACATACTTTCTATCTTTTTGCGAATTTAAGAAGCACAAACACACAAGTGTGCACTTAGGCCGTGGGGAATAAAGCCATAAAACACTCTGTCCAAATGAATCCAAAACGAACATCTCCCACCAAGCCAGCGCCGCGGAAACCCCGAGCTACTGTCAAACGCTCGTTCTTCAAGAATCGTTTAATGGAAGAAGTGACCTGCCATTCCACTGGCCATAAAGCAGACTGAGAGATAAATGCATCTCTGTTTCTGTCTGAATGAGCTAATTCACACTTCAGCTCCGCTACTTCTGCGCGAGGAGACCGAGAACAGTCTGGGACACAAGTCACAGGTGTATTTTTGGGCATTGTCACAACATAAAAGACTCAAAATACACATAACAGGCTTGGAGAAGTGCAGCAGTAACTCAAAACAGATGAGTGCATGTTTCTGGTTTTATTTTAAACCATTTTTTCAGTGCATTATTATTATTATTTTTTTTTTAAGAAAACAAGATGTTTGTCTTAATAATCGTTCATCAAGTGCACATTTTGACATGCATAAAATAATTAAAATAGGTTGCAAATGCCACTTCATGTTGAATTTTAATAAAGATTGAAATTCAGAATCCTTTTCATAACCAGCTCACTTCAACACAGGACTTACCCACTTAAAAACCTACAAACATTTTGCGAAGTGGCAAAAGATCAGCATTTGGCTTTGCTTAACCTCACCGTCTGTCACATACGATTCTCTTGATTCTTTCCTGGAGTTTTATCACAGTCAAAATACATAAGTGGTGACGCATCTACCTGTCATACTTAAGAGTTATCAGAGCAGATGCCGACACGGAGATGTTTTTATTTTAACAATTTCTGCTAATGGTTTTGTCTTTTCCGCTGGTGCTTACGGCAAACACACGGAAAGGGTCATAATGGGTTTTCTCATGTCATGAAACACACCAGACCCCTTCAATGGCAGAAACGTCTCAGGTTACGTATGTAACCATGGTTCCCTGAGTAGGGAATGAGACACTGCGTCCTCTAGGGGTCGCTATGGGGAACGCCTCGTCGTGACCCGTGTCTGAAGCATACATTGAAAAAACACCAACAACACGTTGGCCGGCGACAGCCATGACGTCACTACCGGTGCGACTATAGTATAATAGTATATATCTTTCAAGGGAACTTCGAACTGCGTCCTCTAGGGGTCGCTATGGGGAACGGTATACCCACGCCACCATGCTGAGGGGAGTGCATGCCAGAAAACCATGGCGAGCACTAAGTACCAACTCTTCCATAGCCATACTCCCCTACGGCCAAAGGCCTAGGCTACATACCCCAAAAAACTTACCTGTTAGGGCCAGAACTCCTGGGCCTGGGGTAGAGCTCAAGGCTTGGAATCAGGAATAGATTCCTTTAAGGGAATACAACGAAGAGCCTAGAATCATACTAAGTCTTGGCCTGTCACACAGGAGCTACCGCATGCTCTGCATATGCTGAAGGAACTGTCTCAACAGACCTCTAGTAGCAACACCCTGTTAAAAGTGGGTATCCGGTGGATACAAGGTGGAGTGGTGCCCAAGGTGGAACCGGGGCTTAACCAGCTCAAGAAAGGGCACGAAGCTGCCGCGCGAAGCCCTCACCATACAGGATTTTAGAAAGAGCGGATCATCCATGGAACAGCTAGCAGTAATTTACTTAGCTAAGGGAGCAACACACCCAGTTCTCAATCGAGAAGGGGGCTCGACCTACAGCATGTTCCAATGCTGGAACGGCTAGCAGTAATTTACCTTAGCTGAGGGAGCACAAACCCAGCTCTCA